CCCCCCCCCCCCCCCCCAAAAAAAAAAAGTATATTTGGGATTTGCTTCATATTAGAGACAGGAGACAAATGCAGCTGGAGGGAGGAGGAGGAAGAAAAAAAGGTGCATCAGTTATTGAAAGGACCATGATTCCAACTGTTAAGGGGGGGCAGAGTATGACTATGTTGAAACGGTTTATTAGCATAAATTGACACCTAATTGTTAAACACGTGAATCAAAGGAAAGCTTTGCTATCTTTCTGCCTAGGCCTCTGTCCACCACGTCTGCAATTAGCATAATTTTTCACTAGTGACGCTGTTTGGAAGGCTCGTTGGCTTTGCCCAGCACTCCAAAGCAAACCTTTATTTATTTTTTTTTTAAATATCACCACTAGCTTTATTTCCACCACCGCCACCCGGGTCTCCTCGAGGCTTGTTGTGATTATTTTCATCCCAGCCCAGCATTGCCTAGTTAAGGGGTTTGTGTTCAGCTTTTCTTTCTTTCTTTTTTTTTCTCTCCCTCTCCTTCCCTTCTTCCCCTTTGCTGTGCTAAGGCAGAGGCCATTGTTATCAGTGAGAAGGGCGTACCAGCCTACAGGGCAACTAGAATCTCAGGGTTTGTCCATTCAAAGCCCTGAGCTTTTCCTACAATCTTGGAGGCTGAAAAGCATCTTGCTTTTTTTTTTTCCTTCCCAAACGGAGAGAGGGAGAGAGAATTTGAGCAGCCGTAACCGAAAGCTCCACTGGAATAAATCCCCCTGTTTGGGATTTTTTTTCCTCCTTTTTTTGTAACTGGATTTCTCTTTTTTCCATCTATCTATCTATCTATCTATCTATCTATTCCTTTAACATTTTTTAAAGGAAGGGAGTTATTCCGTGCTTATTGATTGCGTTGATGCTGGATGTGAAAATATATTATGTCTGCCTGTGCTTTGCTCGTCAGAGGCTAAGGTAAGCGAGACTCAAATAGGCTATCACTTTGTGAATGGCGGAGTATATGTCCCAATGATTTATGACCATATGACTCCAATCTCGGTTCAAGAAGAGTTCACAAGCTTTAAGCTTCCTTCCACGCAGCGACTCTTTTGCAGCCCTCATGGAGGGGCCTTTTCGCCCCTTGCTTTTCAACTGGGGGGTTCTGCTTGGGGGTGAAGATGGGTGGGGGGGAGAGGGAGATTTTAGGAATGTGTCTCTATTTTCCTGGCATATTCACCGCCAGGCAGTGGCTGAGATTTGAGGTGTTTCTGAGCACCAGCCTATTGTGAAGGGAAGCGTTGAGAGCTATTCTTCTTTTTTTCCCCCCTTTCATTTTTAACACTAAAATCGGGTCTATTCCTCCTTTGGCTGTGGCTGTGAGAGCTACCTTAGGCGGGGGAGGGGAGGGAAGTGCTGCTCTTCTTCATAAACAGAGTCAGGTTGTGAATTTAGGATTTCCAACATGGAGGGATCGCTTTAAATCTGCCTTAGATGTCTTTTCTTTTCTTTTTCTTTTTTCCTTTTTTTTTCAACCCCCTGGTTTTTCCACGGACCCTGTATCCCCTCCCCTCCTCCTCTCCCTTCTCGAGATTTCCTCATATATATATATATGTGTGTGTGTGTGTGTGTGTGTGTGTGTGTGTGTTTTATATATATATATATATACACACACACACACACACACACACACACACACACACACACACATATATATATATAATTTTTATTTATTCCAATCGCCTCTGAACCCGAGCTGTAAAAGTTCCCAGGCGCAGAGTTCTGCCTTTAATGTTGTTATCCTTCAAAAAGTGAAACTTCCAGCCTCGGGAAAGCTCCTGGCGCGGATCCTGCTCCGGTTAATTGGAACACGATATAATCTAATATTTATTATTCTGGCTGAGGTTTTTTTTAAACAATTCCTTGGAGTAAATAATTAGGATTCCGCCCGTCTTCGGCGAAGATAAATGACCGGCATTTGTGACGCGTTGAGAGATGAGATACAAAAGCGAACCTCTTCGGTGGAAGCCACAAGGCAGCAGGCTTCGCTTTGGGACGAAGGGGGCCGTAAATTTATTTTATGAACTTTTGTTTTAAAAATCATCGCTATTATTTTTAGCTGCTTTTCATAAAGACTCTCAGGGTCTTGATTTTTTTTTTTTTGAAAGGAAACCAATGCCAGATAAGAAGGCCTCAAAGAGGTCCCTACCTCTCTGCTCTCCTAGTCAATTTAAGCAAACCTATTCATAATACAGACACTGCTGTTTGCTAATTAATTCACGGCTCTTCGGCTCCGGTCGTGGATGATCCTTTTTATTAAAATATATTCCACGCGGATAAAATAAAAACCAAGGTCTCCCACCAATAATTATCCGGGAAAATGATTGCAACCTTTATGTGATGGAAAACAAAAAAAGTATCATAGGAGATCTCTGCAGAAGATACTGAGGTTTGGGGATATATAAAGGGTAGAGGCTAAATCAAACCTGTGTGTGAGTACATTAGCTGTGGCTGGAAGTGTATGGGGGGGGGGGTTAGTCTGCTATGTCACAAATACACATGAGTCAGGAAGACAAAATCGGTGGATCATCTATTGTCAGTCAGTGCCTTCTCTTCAACCTTTAATGCTGGGAAAGATGGCAATAGATTGTATATGCCCCAAAACTCTCCAAGACCACTCCTGTTCAAATCAAATAGCCAAAGACACTTTTAAAAAACCCAAACAAGACAAAACAAAACAAAACAAACCCCCCAAGCCCCATAGCAGGCTCATCAGAGAATTTACCGGCTTTTGAAAATATGTGTGCTGTTTGGTTGTCTTCACACATTAATTTATTTTCCGGTAAAGGAGACAGGGTCTGTTCTTTTTGCATATTATTTTGGTCTTCTTCTTCTTCTTGTGTGAAGAAAGTTCATGTTTGAATAGAGAAGGGGGGGGGGGAATAAGAACGGTGGTTTTCCGGGTTTTTTTTAGAAGTTCTGGGCTTGGATTGGAAAGAAAACCAAAACAGAAGAGGAGGAAAAATGAGGCAAAGTCAAAGGGATACCAGGCAAGACCAAATGGCCTGGTGACACATTTGTCTTGAAAAAAACAACAACAACAACATCAATGAAACCGGTTTTGGAATCAAATCTTTTCAATCGCAGTCCCAGAGACAAGACTCCACTTGGGGGTGGGGGGTGCGGGGCAGGAGGGGGCAAGTTTCCTAAATACAACCTGTGCTGCAAACATGTAAATATCAGGCCAAGGAAGGGGGGCGGGGGGATGGAGACCAGTTTGAATGTGCGCTCCCAGGACCTGCTTAAAGTGTTTGCACAGAAATCTAGAGACATTATGAGCCCCTGTGTAAACAGCAAAGCGAGCCAACTGTGTCAAGAGACAGTTACCTGGAGAAAACATATTGACTATTTGCTGTTCTCAGTTTAAAAGGAAACATCCCGGGTAGCCAGAAGAACTTTACAGTGTCTGGGCCTCTAGATGGGAGATTCTAGTTGAATAACGTCCTCCTTTCTTTTTACTTTTGGGAACTGCTGGCTGGAGTGTGATGGGGATGGGAAGGCAGGAGTCCCGGCTCCCGGCCTGGTTGCAGTCCTTCCTGGTGTATTCTTGCCCTCCCGTGAATGAGTGTGTGTTTACATATGTGTCTGTGTGCATATATGCCTATGAATTCACGTGTGGAGCATGGAGCACGCTGATACCTACCCAGGGCAATGTTTGGAAGAAAAATGTATTGATTAAAAAAAAAAAACCCACAACACACGAACAAAACTTTTGTGCTGAAATATCTGAGTAGTCTAAAGCCAGGAGGAATCTGCTCCAAGCATCTGTTAGCTCTGTTCTGTAGGAACCTATTCATGTCATGTGCTTTTCACTACCTAAGATGGATTCATAGCCAGGCCACTATTATTGTGTGTTTCTTCTAACCTTTCAGGTCAGCTTCCAATAGACAACTGGAAACAGACTGTCACGTGACCTTGGGGTGCCAATGTTCTTCCATAGGGGTGTCAAGACCCTGGTAGTCAGTAAAAATATTTTTGGGGAAGCCCAGAGATGCAGAAAACAACATACTACGACAGCTCAACGCTCTTTGGGGGCTACACCTACCAGGGGGCCAATGGGTTTGGTTATGATGGTCCTCAACAGCCTTTCCAGCCTTCTTCTCACGTGGAGAATGACTACCAGAGGTCTGCCTGCTCCCTGCAGTCTCTTGGCAACGCTGCCCCTCATGCGAAAAGTAAAGACCTGAATGGAAGCTGCATGCGGCCAAGTTTGCCCCAGGAACATCACCAGCCTCCACCTGTCTCACCACCCCCAAACTCTGTCACCAACAGCAACAGTAGCAACAGCAATAACCAGTCCGGGAGCAGTAAAACTGCCCCCAGCAAATCAAGTCTCAGTGCAAATGCAAGTCTCACCAAACAGATATTCCCCTGGATGAAAGAATCGAGGCAAAACTCCAAACAGAAAAACACCTCCCCTAGCACAGGTATAAGTTCTGCTTGTGTCACCACCCATTGCCCTGGGCAGTGAGGTAGAGGACCTACCAGGCCACAGGCTCTTGTCCCAGGGTGGGATAAATAAAAGCCGAAAAGATTTCCACCGAGGTGTCAGGAGCCAGCCCCTTCCGTCTCTCCTTGGACAAACCTCCCAGTGCTTCCACTGGGCTCATGGGCTGGGGAAAGTGGATTTGGCCTCTGGTGAAGAGGTAGAGATGTGCACTTGAACTGTTCCTGGGACTGGAGTGAAATGCAACGATTAGACATGGATAAAGATGGCTGAAGTCTTGAAGGCCTGCAGAGGCTCATGAATGAACGCGTGTGCTTGTTACATCATATTTAGGCATACCCACGCAATTCCATAATATGTATGTATGTATGTATCTGCCTGCCTACCTACCTACCTAATCTGCTACACATTGATAGCTATGATGCCAACTACCTCTATCTGACCGTATGCAGTTACGTAGCTAGGTAGGTAGATCATACTTCTAGCTAGGGAACTGCCATGTAGAATAGTCTGCCACAGCTGCCCATCCATAGTTACATACAGACCTGCCTCTGTGTATTACTGGCGTTGCTAATGTCACGCGGGTGTTATATGGATGCCCTGTAGAGCACTTTCAGAGGTGCACGTGCAATTCAGAAGCAAACAGAGGCGTGTAGCTACGTGTGTGGGTGAGACCACACTCTTCCATGGCTCCCAGCCCTGTGTGTGTAACGTGCCTGCCCCTGCGACCAACATCGCCACCCTGGAGGCGCCGGGGTTGGCCTTCATTTATTATTCCGCTCCTGCCCCCTCCTCCCACCCCCTGCCAAATATTATTTTCTCCAAAATTATCTGTTGAAAATAATCGACTCCTCAATAACTGGCCCTGGAATCCTTTTCTGCATGACATGATCAAATTTTCATAAACCAGGGGCAGCTTTGGAGAACAGAACTCTTAATAAATGACATGATTATAGAGTGCAGGCTAATGTGCAAGGGGGGGAGGGAGGTCGAAGTCCTCGCGCCTGCTCCAGGATTTATTAAGAAGCGATGCATTCAATTTCTGCATGTAAGTAATTATCTTTTATTTCATTTCGGCCGGCAGAAAGCTGCAGCGGCGAGAAAAGCCCTCCGGGATCTTCCGCTTCCAAGCGAGCCCGCACGGCCTACACCAGCGCCCAGCTGGTGGAGCTGGAGAAGGAATTCCACTTCAACCGCTACCTGTGCAGGCCCCGCAGGGTGGAGATGGCCAACTTGCTCAACCTCAGCGAGAGGCAGATCAAGATCTGGTTCCAGAACCGGCGGATGAAGTACAAAAAGGATCAGAAGTCCAAGGGCATGGGGTCCTCCTCCGGGGGACCCTCCCCCACGGGCAGCCCCCCCCAGCCCATGCAGTCTTCCGCCGGGTTTCTGAATACCTTACACACCTTGCCTAGTAACTACGACGCCCCATCTCCGCCTTCCTTCAATAAGCCCCACCAGAATGCCTATGCCATGTCGACTAACTACCAAAACCCCATCAAAGGGTGCCCCTCGCAACAGAAGTACGCCAACACGGCGCCCGAGTACGACCCGCACGTGTTACAGGGTAACGGGGGCAGCTATGGGACCCCCAGCATGCAGGGCAGCCCCGTGTACGTGGGGGGCAACTATGTGGATTCTATGCCCGCCTCCGGCCCCTCCCTGTACGGCCTCAATCACCTGCCGCACCACCAGTCTGCCAGCATGGACTACAGCGCAGCTCCGCAGATGCCCCCCAGCCAGCACCACGGACCGTGCGAGACCCACCCCACCTACACAGACCTTTCCACGCACCACTCCTCTTCTCAGGGCAGAATACAAGAGGCGCCGAAACTCACCCACCTGTGATGGGGGTGGGAGGGCAGAGCAGACTCGTGGAGCTCTGACCCGGGGGAGGAGGGGGGAGCCAACCCGCTGTGGGATCTGATTCAGAAACATTTGTGTTGAGCCCTTAAAGCGATCGGTTTGGTGGGGCTTTTGTTCCCGGTTTTCTTAGGCGCCGCGTCTTTGGGGGGGGGGGGG